GCATTTTTATCAAAAAGGTTTGAGGATTCGATTCTTAATTTTCTTTTTAAAAAAAAATCATCATTACTTTTGCACACAATGACTTCTTAGTGATCACAAAAATAAAATATATAATTCAAAAATATGGAGTCATCACTTAATTTTGAAAAAGGTGAAAATTAAGAAATTAAAATATAGCACTAGGATTAAGAGTTCCAGAATCGCCACAACCCAACAAGGAGCCGAGAGTACTTACATCCGAGAGTGCAAGGCAATGCATTGTGTCATCTACCCTAGATTTCTATCATATTGCATAATGAAATTTTCTTATTTGGTTTAAAGTTTAAGGCTTCCTAAATTTGACATTTGGTGCTAATGAATTTTTCACAACTCGATGCATATTATAAACTCTTCAATTTCTATTCATAATTGAAACATAAACTTAACATATTTAAATAGATAAATTCATCAACAAATCCGAAATAAACTTAAACATTTCATTATCTTTTGATCTCATTAATATATCCATAAAAATATCCAAAATGACCTAAATTTTATCCTTTACAACTCAAAATAGTCGAGTCTAAGCAACTACCAAAAGTGGTCAAAACCTAGCAATGGTTTAACCTTCAAACTTTAAAACTAGACTTGTAGTACATGATTTGGCAAACTTTGTAAATCAAGCCAGCATCCTCAACACCTCTACATGTCCTTGAGTATTGCTTTATTTACCTATACCTTAAGAAAAAACAAAAAGAGCTAAAGCTTAATAAATGTAAATATGCATAGATGCAATGAAAACCATCATTTTTCATACTTGAAATTCTTTTTTATCTTTCGGGTATACCCTGCTGGATACATATAGTATCATTCATCTTATTGCCATAAAGGTTCCGGACATGTTCAATTCAATTCAATAAACCTCACAAGGGTTGATCATTTCTCTTGTGCCACTTGAACATGCCTATCCATGTTATGCCATGTACTAATAAAACCATGTACATTTCCTTTCTTGAATGTTTGAAATCATGACATAAACATTTTATGATGTGAATGCAATTAGAATACAATATCAAGTATAAACATGAACATGAGTCATATGGCATTAAGCCATTTTTAAATACATTCCACACGACATGATAAGGTTGTATATTGTTAAGCCTACCAACCATGAATACAATTAAATGACATAATAAGGATGAAACTATCTAGCCTTAAATAACCACGGACACAACATATATTGAAGGATCATGCATCTTATGAAGGTGCAAAATAAATAAAAATTTTCGTCCATCTAAGGACCTAAGATCATGGCGTTGAATCTAAGAAATCACCGTATAAATCTTTAACCAATCCATACCCGGCCCATAGTAGTTTATCTACCCATTTAGTACCTATTTAATACCGATAAAATGAATTTATCAAAAAAAATCATTTTTAGTCCCTATAATTTTCAATAAAAGTTTTTTTTGTCCTTAAAATTTATTTATTTTTCATTTAGTCATTTATTTATATGTTTTTTTGGTCTTCAAGGTTTTTGAAAAAAAATTTTGCTCCTTATTTTTTTATTATTATTTTATTTTATTTTTTGCAATCGGATCCATGTTAATAAAAAATTAAAATAAGTTAGTGAGTATTAATAGGATAAAAAGAAGATATCCATACCCCGAAATTATATTAATGAATATGTATTTTTTTTATTTATTCACTTCAATAGCTATTAAATATTATTAATAAATATTTATTAAATCGAATAAAATAAATATTTCTTTTATATTCAATTCATTATTATCCTTTTGTGTTCGATAAGAGGAACTCCTGCTTGGACAGCAAGAAATTATTATTCCTAACTAAACTCTTTCCTTCTGCCGGTACTAGACTACTATTTGTTCTTTTCATCACGCCAAACGATCACTGCCACAAATTAATTATTAGCTAGGCCCTACAATTTTATTTATTTATTTATTTTTCTTTTAGGAAAGGTTAGATGTTATCCAAGTTGTATTCGGTTTGGTCATCAAGAGAATCACCAGAATTGTTGCTCTAAGGCATCTTTTTCATGGATAAAGCAATCCTGCGTAACTTTTCTGTTCCCTCGTTCGTTTTTTGATAACCCATTATCTTTGTCTTCTTTCTTTTACTTCTGTCCTCCTGTTTGCAATTATTCAAGCCACACCTGACTTATCTATCATCATCAGAAACTGTTGGTTTCCAGGAAGATAATTGGCTCTCAATTGGAAACTATCAAGACTGCTTTGCCGGTAAGTGATCTTTTATATATTTATTGCGTTATTAACTTATTTAGAAAATGATCGATGTTTTATGAATTGTAATGTGTTTTAATTAACTCTCATAATTAATGATAGATGCTGTATCATAAATCAAGGAAGTCAAATAAATCATGTTGTTGCATATTTCAGTATTTCATTTCATCCCAAGATAAAGTATGTTTAATAAAAAATATATGAAATTCCAAAACATAAAATATATATATATATATATATATATATATATCTCGATTGATAAGATATATATATAGCATTTGATTCATGCCCAAAGAAAATTTTATAATACTCGAGAAGTAATTCAGTGATACGTATATTAGTTATTCCATGGACTCACTTAGAGGAGAGATCGACACATAAAATTAGAGTTTTTTTCCCCCTAAATAGGATACTTTTTAATCTATTTTTTTAAAATAAGATATTTTAAATCTTATTTATAAAAAAAGGATAGTTTTGTCATATAGACATCCATGTCATCTTTTTAATTAAATGTTATAATATATATTTAATATAATAATTTAAAAATATTAGAAACATAAAAAAAAAAAATTAACTTATCCTCTCTCGTCTCTCTTTTGTTGTTTTTATCCTAATTTCTTAAAGTTTAAATACTCTTACAACTCAAAACCACAAATACTAGAAAAGTTTTTTAGCATATGTATATTATCAATTAAAGTACTTTTCTAAATTTTTTTGTTTCTATTAATTGAATTTTGATAAAATTTTCTTTTAATTTACATATTGTACGTTCTAAAATTTTGAGACCGCAAGTTTTTTAATGTTTGTGCGGTGATCTAATAATGTAGTAATTTGATAGAGTTCATCTCAAAATTTGATGATCTATAATCCACCACCAAGTCAGAATTAATCTTCCTAAATTTGGCTACCTTTAAATCATGGAGTAGGTTCAAGTTGACTTCTCAAGCAAATTTGAAGATATTGTTTGAAGATCATCCGACTAAAGAATCTTTACTATTTTTAGTTATGGTTTTGGCATAATTTTATTTTGATGTATTCTTACTACTTGCATGGCTATCCTTGAATATTGATTCTATTTTTATTAGCTATTTGTTAAAATGTCTAGATTCTTTTTCACATCAAATTGTTGAAAAAATTTATACTCGTATCATTGAATTATGATGTGGGAATATGAGTTTTATTTTATACTTGTGTCATTAAATTAATTTTCAGCATATAATAGAAAAAGGAAATGCATTGTAGAAGGATTTTTAGCATACAATAAAAAAAGGAAAATGCATTGCAAAAGGATGTCTAGACACTGATTTTACACACCATATTGTAATCTTATGGTTAATGCAATATACAAGTTGATACCATGTAACAACCATACTGAATAATTTTCAGTATTGAGAATGCTTTGATCCTATAATAAAAAATATTTTATTTTTTTTTTCAATGTTGAAAAATTTTGGACTTTTTCTACAAAATAAATTGATTTTTTTTTTTTTAACGTGTGTATAATTTCACCAAGTTTGATGGTCATAATGGGGAACCACATGCCCTTTCTCAGATGAAGCCAACTTGATGGTTATAGGCTGAGCTCTGCTGTGAAAGTAACCTCAACACTGGTATACAACAAAGTTACTAAAACTCAGAAGAAAGAACAATCAGAAGTTTGTGAAAAAATTATCTGCCAAGATATCTCGCTATTCTCAAAATATGTACATGTGTAAAATTAGGAATTCATGTAAAATGAACCTTTACAAATTAATAATTCAAACAGAGTTTAGAAGTAAACTAATGGATTCACTTGAGTCCAATAGCATAGAAGAGGACTGTGTTTCCTCTGAATAGTTAGTGTACTTTGTAGGAGTTTCGTCTGGAAATCGAACGTGCTTGGGAGGCAATTGTAGGTTTTCAATGTCTCCTTCGAGCATCTCCACAACTTTGTTTATTGGAGGACAATTACTGGGCTTCATCTGTATGCACCATAGTGTCACTGTAATCATCTTCTTTGCCAAATTCTTTTCATCTATTGTGGCATCTCCAATTTCAACTCTTTCATCAACAACTTGGTTATAAACCTAGGAAGTGAAGTAATTTTCGCTGTTAATCTTTGTCATCGGATTTGTATTTCTGTTTCATTTACCTAAGGCTGTGCACCAAAAACCAGCAAGGGCATCAAGATACTTCTTCTCATTGATGCTATAGGCATAGCTACCCTAGATGATTCGGCAGCTTCCAGTTAGTTATGTAATTGAAAAATAAAAACTCACCTTAGAATACTAACGGTCTTTTTGTAACAAAAAATGTTGGGACAATCAGAGAAGAGTTATCAAAGGGAGTATACCTCAGACTTCTCTATGACTATAGGATGCAAATCAGTACTCTACCAGCCAGCAGTGAAAGGTGCCAGCATATCATGCCCCTTTGAAACTGCAATAATTAAAATAACAGAACTCCTCTACTGACACAAGCAAATTAAACAGAAAGAGTTAAGATGCATCAAAGCATGATCTTAATGCTAATTGGCATAAGCCAAAATTTAAAGCACATGCATTAACTTTACAGAAACAGCCAATTACTTGACGAAGACTACCTACAAATATATGACAACTAGAAAAAAAAAAAAAAAAAATCAAATTAAGGTGAGGATTGTCTACTGTTTATCAAATATGAGCCAACTGATATGGTTTTCTCAATTCAGTAACACAATATGGAATAACAATATCAATGTAGAAAAAATTCTTGCTATATGAAAAATGCAGTAATTACCTCGTAAAGTGCTAAAAGCATCAAACAAGAGGAAAGTTCACATGCTTTGTCTTGTATACTAGCGATCAATTGCTTTTTCTTTTCTCCATCAAGACCCCTGGATTCTATGAGGTCAATCTGCAGCGGTTCACTTGGATACTATCATGGAATGTAGACAAAAGTTAGGATCTAAGCAAATAAAATTGCACCAGCATTCGCGATTTCAGAAACTAACAACAGCACATATGGAGCATCCAACCCCAATAATTTTCTCCAATTAAGCAGAAAATAAATACAAATTGATATCTTGTTGATATTGTAAAATACCTGAAGACCTGCTCGTATCCGAATCACTGCTTTCAAAAAAAAAAAAAAAGAAAGAAAGAAAGAAAAGAATGAAGTCATATAGAACAGTCATCTATGCCTCTTCTCAGCGCTCAGTGTCAAAGAAATATAAAAAAGTCATCAATCTCCACAAATAAAGTTACAATCGATGGAAAAGAAAGAAAAAAAGGACGCATACCTTTAAATGCAATGATAGACCACAAAAGATGATTTTATTATTTTTTCCCCCTATTAAAATTCACACCAGTACAGCTGGATGCATCAGAATCCTTAAGCTAGTTATTATCTCATTAAGATTGATATGCAATAAAACTAGTGCGGTGTTCCCTTCCAATTCATAGTACCAATACCTCACTAATATCCTCGCTAAAAAATGTTCTATGAAAATCACGTGTTTCTTTCGAAAATGCAATAAGCACATTTAAAATCATTATTCTAGATGGGTTTGCTCAAAAGAATCAGCACTATCAACTTTTCATAAAATTTGCCAACAACCAGCTTCCTTGATCAGACTAAAACAAATTCTCGAACTTTTTTTTCTTAATAAAGTAGAGAAATTTAAGCTATTAATAAACAAAAAGAATCATATTTAATTCCCATACGCTTCTTTCCTCGAATTTTTTGATTCAAAACCAAGAAATAATGAAACCCAAAAGTAAAAGGAGAGGCGAGAGAGTGGGAGACCTGTTGAGGGGAGACATTGGCGGTTCTGGGCTTGATGTGGAAGTGAAGTTGAGGAGGGAGAGAATCAAGAATCACACAATCGTCGTCGTACACGGTTAGCACCGCTTCTACTCCAATTAAAACTTCTTCTTCTTCCGCGATTGCTTTTTCTTTAACAGCTGGCTATGCTATGCTTCCTTATCGTTTTGCACGCTAATGTTCAAGTGGTGATCGGTGACGGAAGAAGAGCATCTCCTGGAAACAAATTCAATTTAATTCCTCTTTTTTTTCTTTTCCAAATTATTTTTTTTTAAATAGTCCATTTCATTATTTTATATCAAAGTGAAATAATTCATCAGTTGTCATTAGTTAACATTTGTATATTATAAAATTTCTGGTAAAAGAGAGGCAGAGATTGTTAGGGGGGCAAAAATAAAAAAAAATAGTGAAAGTTCGGTTGTTTGGCAAGGAAAATATTTTTTGCGTTTCCTTTTTTAAATGTTCAATTGACCGAAAACTTTCTATAATTCTATTTTGATTTATTTTTCTGACGTCAAACAAACACCAAAACGTAAAATATTTTCATGAATAATATCTTATGCAAAATAAACGCACCTTTGTTTTTACTCGACGCTAATAGTAAGCAACAGGCCTATGTGGTTCTCCTGCTCTCTTAATTGGATAACTAAATAATGTTAGACCAATCTAACTTACTTTCATTATATAATTTAATAGAATTCATGGGTATGTGTTACCATCTTAAAAAGCGAGAGAGAGCGAGGTATATTATTTTATAATAATACAACATTTAGGTCTGATTATTGATTTTAATTGATTTTTTTAAAAAAAAAGAGAGCTTAGTCTATTATTATATAATGGGGCGGTGTCCAATTCATCTTTATATTTTAAAACAAACTAATTATGTTATTATATATTAAGTGAATTTTCAATTAATCATTCTAATTATTTTCATGAGAAAATTATCACATGATTAATTTTAATATATCAAAAATGCATTTCAAGTCACTAATTCATCGCTGTCCTCTCTCCAAACTTGGTCTGAATCCTTCTTCTTCTTCTTCTTCTTTTTTTTTTTTTTCTTTTTTCCTTTGTCTCTTATTCCTCTCGTTCCCTTTCCCTCTAAAAATCCAGTCAAAATCACCCAAAATCAATCAATCCAACCGCTTTTTCAACTACCCCTAAGATTTTTTCATACCAAAATCTTCATATTTCATTTAAAATCAAGTCCTAACTTATCGATCTACTCTCATATATCTTAAAACCAACTTTTTCCACCTTTTCCCCTTCTTTTTCAAACCAAAATTAAGCTTTACTTGCCAATCACCATCAAACATGTCACTTTTTTTTTTCCCTCTATGTTTTGTTCAAAAATTATGTTAAAATCCTAAATACCCATCATTCATGTGATTTGTACATGTCCAATCGTTGAGACATTTTCAATATAAAATTGATTATATATAAATCATGTGATATTTTCTAATAATTTTGTAGAAAAAATGTTATAAGAATGATAGAATGAAAAATCATTTAAAATTAAATATTGATCTTATTATATCAAAATAGATCAGATAATATTTTGGGGGGGGGGGGGGATAGCAAGCATGAAATTATATTATATTAGAAATCTCTACAAAGTGGAGAACATAGCGCATAATTCCATCAAATGTAAGAAACTCCACTTGATACATGAGAAGTGAACAACTAGGTTTAATGAATTACAATTTCCGACAATAATAAACAATAAAAAGGGAGTCATAAATCCCAAAAGATAGAGGGAGTTCACGGAAAGTAACTGCATGATAAAATATAACACATTAAAGTAATTTTAAATATATGTTTATAGTTTTGTTGTACGTATTTATGTATGCAACATACCAAGAGATAGATCAGAATGGCTAAATTACATTTAATGATAATATAACTCGTTAGAGTTTACGAATGAAGATGGAGGGGAGAGAGGTTTTCATTTTCATTTTTTTTTTTAGAATGCAAATGAATGCAGTATTAGTAACTAGAGTTTAATTTATCGATGCATTAAGAAATAAAAAGTTCGTATTGACTCTATATGCCATAAATTATCATAGTTTGGGAAATAAATTTAAAAGGATAGTATTTTGGTAATTAAGATTCTAAAGTACCATAGTTTGAATGAAAAAAAAAAACCCCAAGTCCTTCACATTCTCGATCTTATTTAGCATTTAATTTCTAAATAATTCTATTCATAATCTGCATCTCTAAAAGAGTAAATTTCAACTTACATTATCACACTGCTTTCTCAAGATGGAAAATGACAGGCGTTTTTTCTTCCTCTCCCCTGATTCCCCCATGCTCTCTGTTACATTCTTTAGTTTGTTAGTTTTTTGGTTTTTTTCCCTTTATGCCCTCGAGTCTGTTATAACACCTATAACAGACTTAACAATATTAGATTAGCTTTTATTTCTTTCCCTTTTTACCCTCCGTGGTATGTATATAAAGCATAGAAGAGAGAGAATGCATTTGAATTTTTCCTTCTCAAAATGTTTCCGTTATACATCCTTAGATTTATGTTTTGTTTCAATTTCATCTGCAACTTTTAATTTATTTCAATCAGACATTGTAACTTTCATATTGGTTCCACTCTCCATTTCTATCGAAAATAGCAGCAGGAAATTTGTGTAAATTTCAATTTCATCTCCAATATAGAATATCTCAATATAATCCAAAAGATAGAAAAAATGAACAAATTAAATTTTTTTAAAAAAAAAACTAAAGAAAAATATTTTTTTAGTAAAACAAATATAATGAAAAAACATTTTTTTATCAATATTATTTATCAATCCTTTGATAATACAAGAATAAAATTAAGGTAAAAAAAAATATGATAAAAATATATATAAAAAAATAACAACAACAACATCAACCACCATTGTTTTGGTCTCTCCTAGACTCTCTCACCAACATATCATATCTACATGTTTTATTTAATTTTCTATCATTTAAAAAAAAAAAAAAAAAAAAAAAAAAAAAAAAAACTAAAAGATCTAGACTCTTGACTATTCATTTACTGTAGCCTTTTTTTTTTTTCTGGGCTGCTGACAAAGATCGATTACTATTCATTTACCTGTGCTCATCCTTCACCCAATCAGTTCTATAACATTGAACAAGTTCATTAAGATGTGGCCACTGCCCAGATTTTCATCAAGCTGAAGGGGGAAAAAAAAAAAAAGTTATTAAGACCCTATACTGTTTTGAACACGAGCATTCCTGAATGCAATACACTGAAAGATAAAATGACAATATAGACAATCCATGATATGAAATCCAAAAATTTTTTAAAGAAATGAGCAGATAGATTGAGGGTATTGACAATTTAACATAAGCAAGCAGATAAAGTTATTAAGACTTAGAAGCTGTAAGAAAAAGGTTGCCCCATGGCAACACCAAACATTGTCAGCAATAACAATCAGTACGAAAATTCTTAGGAATTGAATAGAGAAAATAATAGTAGTGCCTGCAGCAGTTCGAACAGCATTGTATTTGTTTGTTCTTCACCCAAAAAAGCAAAATACAATTATTGTTCAAAAAAATCATTCTATTGGATTGCTTATTAGCTTTAACATAACAGGTTCAGAATTTAAAATAATCATTAAAAATAATAATCAGTTAAAAATAATTTTACTTAGTTTTTTTAAAATTAATAATTAATTAAAAATTCATAGTTTTTATTTGGTTATATATATATATATATAACCAGAATTTATCAAAACCAAATTTATAGTAGTTTTTATTTAAAACTATTCACTTCGATATATTTCATACGATTTAAGTTGGTTTTTTATATATTTTTTATATTCGAATCTGCTAAGTATGATATATATATATATATATATATATATATATATATATATATATTCTAATAAAGGAGAGAGAGAGAAAGAAAGAGAGCTAAAAGTGTGTTTTAGATAATTTGACTTAATAAATTTAAAAAATAATAATCAATTAAAAATAATTTGGCTCGTTTTTTCTTAATTAATAATTAGTTGCAAAAAATTTATAGGTTTTATTTGGTGTTATATATATATATATATATATATATATATATTCAAAATTTATCAAAACCAATTTTATAGTAGTTTTTATTTAAATCTATTTACTTATATATATTCTATGGGATTTAAGTGGCTTTTTTATATATATTTTTTATATACTCGAATCTACTAAATTAATTATATTTGCACACAATAACTTCAATTATTTGTTATTTTTTTTCATGTTCTAAAATCTGTATTTTTAAATAAAATAATTTAATTAATGTTTTGAAAGAATCTCTTAATTATTCAAATATAAATTTTTATACTAATATTATAAATTATTCCGTTAATAAATATATATAAATCAAATAAATTTGCTCAATATATGGATTCAATTTACATTAATATTAAAAAACAAAACATCTACTCGCATAACACCATTCGAATCGTTAATCCTATGTATATAATAGTTGTCTAACCGCAATGTAGCGCAAATATCTAACTAGTATCAACTATAAAATTTTAAACAAGAATTTTGAAAAAAAATAAATAAATAAAATTCTCATATGGTTGGAATGGTAAAATGAGGATATATAGCACAAGTTCGACACAACCTTGAGTTAAATAAATTTGAATCTTAATTAATTTTTATTTAAATGTAGTATTGACAAATAACATAGTAGATAATATATATAATTTCTTAAGGCTTCTTGTTTTACCTTTGAGTTTGCTGTAAT